GCTGTGGCACTCACTCAGGCTTCTTTCTCTTTCAGCATGGTATTGGGCCCCTACTGTCACTACTTTAGGGTACTGCCCTCTCCCTGGGTGCTCTTCCTGTCCACACCTTTATAAGTCATTTTGCTGTAACTTTCCTCAGTTACCCAGCTTGAGTGTGTCATCTGTTTCCTTCCAAAACCCTGTCTGATAAAATATGAAAATCATTTTTTTAAAATTCAGATTTAATTAAAAAAAAAGTTTAGCTTAGAATTTCATGAAGCAAAGCTAAGCTACCTTGATTTTTCTCTTAACACTCTCCTGGTATGTGTACACCTGTCTTTCTTTTTTTCCTCCCTCTTTTCTTCTTCCTCCTTTACTCTTCCCACTTTCTCCCTTCTCCCTCTCCTATCCATAAATATATTACTGTCTGGTAACCAGAAGGGACTGCTGTCAATGAGGGAATCTTCTGACTCATGGATGATATGCTTTGTATTATTCAAGATTCAAAGTAGATGTCCCCACTCAATTTGAAGTAGAAGAATTTCTGGTTCAGGGAAGACATAAAGTCATATAGAGTAAAAAGCTTGGACCTATGGTCTTGACTATTGGTGCAGTATATATCTAATTAATCAAGTTCTGATCCCTCAGACTCATTAAAGTTTTAGACCCTGTTCCCAGGAAACTGTTGTTACACATATCCATAGAGCATCTTGCTCATCTGTGGGGCTCCTTTGGATTCTTGGTAAGACACTTTGGACTAATAGCTTGGATTAGTTACTGTGGGATGTGGTATTAGCCCCACCACCATCTGTATTTGTCATTTCCATATGCTTTAATAACAACCACCATGTAGGTGTGTAAAACCACACATACATATACACAGAGGGAACATTAAAGCTGTGATTTTCTTTCCAGGTCTTGGGGGTACCTGTGTAAATGTAGGCTGTATTCCTAAGAAACTGATGCATCAAGCTGCCCTTTTGGGGCAGGCATTACATGACTCAAGGAAATTTGGCTGGGAGTATAATCAACAAGGTGAGTAATGATATAAAAATATAGATTGGAAGAAAAGAATAAAGAATGAGCTTTTTAGATAAATACTTGGTATTCGTACTTTCATAGTTGAGTTTCAAATTCATTTCATAATCATTCATTGAGAGCCTACTGTGTGCTGACACTAGAGTCTCAAAGATGAATACTTTAAATATGGTCTTGCTGTCATGGACAGCTGAAGAAGGGAATTGTTTCAGCTGTAGTGATTCTAAATCTGTAGCAGACTGTGAAAGATAATAATCACTAATTTCAGAATTTTTTCAAGTGTAAAGGAAACAGAATATAAAAGTCATTTGAATTTTATCCATTCATTTTGACAACCCTTACTGTTTCATCAGTGCTATATATATATCTGTGGTTAATGAAAGGTGGAAAATTATCCAGTGAACATTTATTGGCTAGAATTTGAAGATACAGATATGAGGAAAATATAGCTCCTGGTCTTAAGAAGCAATAGTCTGTTGAAAGAGGTAGACAAGAACATCATTCATTGTGAAATGCACTATAATTATTGGTTCTGTTTTAGGCATCAACTTGAGGGACACCTAATGTAGCGTTGCAGTTGGGTGTATCAAGGAACACTTTCACAGAGGAGATAGCTCAGATGTAGGACATTGAAGACAGGGTGCAGCTTGACCAAAAATATGGACATGTGAGAACATATGTTGTATTTGGAGTGAAGAATGGGTGGAAGGACATTAAAAGAAATGGAATTAAAGAGGCAAGCAGGTCACACAGGCTCTTACATGTGATTTTAAGTAGTTAAAATTTACCCTAAAGCTGACAGGAGAGCTATTGAGGAATTTCAGCAGGAGAGGAGCATGAACTCCAGTTAGGATTTGGGATCACTTGGATGATACACCATGGAACATAAAAGGCTGGGAAGGCTGGGGTAGTGGAGGGAGACCGTAGGTAAGGAGCTGGTTTAGGGCATCGCTGTAGTGACCTGAGAAGAAATGACGAAGGCCTGAAAGACTATGAAGTTGGAGTAGAGTATGTGAAGTGGATTTAGAGAGATATAAGGAATGGAATCGACAAGATACAGTGATTGGTTGGATGTAGAGTGCTAATTCCTCTCAGTGTTGGCTTTTTGTCAGGAGAACGTGTTGTGGAGATTTTAAAAAATTACAAACGCATTATCTCTTCCCTTAGAGATTTTGATCTGTTAGATCTAGCCATGTGTACATTTAAAATGTCACAGATGATTCTTACACTTAGATAATTCTGATAGGCCGTCCAGGTTATGGGTAGGAAGAGGAGGAGATCCAGGGTGAGGGACTGGGTGAAGGTGTAAGGCAAGTCATTGAGAGAGAAAACAGGTAGGTTTGGTTTAGTGTCTGGGTATGGGTGAGTTCTGGATAATGAATTGAGACTGAACAAATTTTTCTAGACCATTAACACAATAGAGGTGTTTAGGTCACACTATGGAGTGTTGATGGCGTAGTGCCTAAGGCATTTGACTGCTAACAAAAGGCTCACAGTTCAAACGCACCAGCTACTCCTCAGAAGAAAGGTTGGGCAATCTACTTCCATAGTGATACCGCCTTGGAAATCCAAGGAGGGATCACTGTGAGTCGGATCTGACTCGAAGGCAGTGACTTCTGTTTTCTGTAGAAACCCCATAGGAGGACAGAGCCTTTGGTCTTTGCTTACTATTTCCTCTTCTTCTCTGAGATAACTTTCTGTGGGGAGGAGGTGGGAAGGGAGCTGTTGCATTGTGGTAAACTGTGGTCAATGTCATGAGACAAAGTGTAAGTATATCACTGCAGTATGGTGATTCCTTAAAAAGTTGGAATTACAAATACCATTTGACCCAGCCATTCCATTGTTGTTGTTGTTGTTATGTGCCATCAAGTCGGACCTGACTCATAGTGACCCCTCCTTGGGTTTCCGAGGCAGTATCACTACGGAAGTAGATTGCCCCATCTTCCTTCCGAGGAGTGGCTGATGGGTTTGAACTGCCAGCCATCTGGTTAGCAGTCAAGTGCCTTAGCCACTATGCTACCAGAGCTCCCTAGCCATTCCATTACTAGATATATATTCTAAAGAAGTGGGAGCCAGGACAAGAACAGATACATGCACACCCATGTTCATTGCAGCACTATTTACAATAGCCAAAAGATGGAAACAACCTAGGTATTTATCAACTAAAGAATGGATAACCAAGCTATGGTACATACACACAATGGAACACTTTGTAACCCGAAAGAATAACATAGAGTTTGCAAAACACTGCATAAAGTGGATGAATTTGGAGGACATTATGCTGAGTGAAAAAAGTCAAGCACAGAAGGACAAATATTGTATTAATTTGTTATTATAAAAAGTCAAGGAATGGTTTATATATGGAAGGAAATTTTCTTTGTTGGTTACCAGGGGTGCGAGGGGAGGGTAGGGAACACTGTAAGATAAGTAGAGACAAGTATTGATTTAGGTGAAGAGAAGGGCATTGTACCAAATGTGAATGATCAACATGATGGCATTGAGGAAGAGGAAGACAGAGAGAGGGACATGGGAGGTACAGACAACAAACAATTCTTTTGCACATAAAATCCTGCGTTGTCAGTGAAGGCAAACATGGGTATACAGGTGGATAGATGGGTGGAAAGGCTGAACTATTAGGTGTGTCAGTGCAGGGGGGAGTGTACCCAAGACCATGAATAAGGTTGACAGGCAATGTTTCTACAAGTGTATTGGTATGTTCTGTAAGAATTCCTAGGTATATAGTAGAGCTGACAAGGGACAAGGTTGTAGTCACTTCTTGGTCACAGACAGCTGCTACCCAGAGGGACTGAGTAGTTGGACCTGTGGGCTCAGGACCATAGTCGCAGGGGACATCAAGCTCAATTGGCATAAAATACTGCATAAAACATTGTTCTACATCCTACTTTGGCTAGTAGCCACTGGGATCTTAAAAGCTTGCAAGTGGCCATCTAGATGCAGCAATGGGTCTCTTTTGTCCAGAGGAAAGAAGAATGAGGCCTATTCGACTATGAGACCAGAACTAGATGGTGCCCAGTTATCACTGTCAACCACTCGGAGGGGGATCTATGTAGGAGATCCTGGATAGAGTGGGAGAACAATGTGGAACAAAACTCAAAGTCATTAAAAAAAAAAAAAAAGGGGGGGACCAGGTTTGCTGGTCTGATAGAGCCTGATGGAACCACTGAGACAGTGGCCCCTACCTGCCCTTCAGGTCTGGAATCGAACCCACTCTTGTGGCTTCCAGCCAAACAAAAGAAAGGCATATGAGGTGAACATTTACATTAGGTAGATAGACTCCTTGGAGAGAAATAATCATGGGAGAATAGAAGGGCTGTGTGTGCACAGGGAGACAGCCCAGGGTGTGGGAGTGCATGGAGGGAAGGACATATGGAAGAGGTAACTATGGGGAGGAAGTGAGAGGCGAGCTGTTGCATTGTGGTAAATTGTAGTCAATGTCATGAGACGAAGTGTATGTGAGCTGCTGTATGGAAAGTGAATTTGCTCTGTAAACTTTCATCCAAATCACAATTAAAAAAGAAAACAAAAACTGAAGCACAGGAAAAAAAAAAAAAAAGAAGAAGAAGTATGAATCCTCCTACTTTGTTCTTCTTCATAATTGCTTTAGCTGTTCAGGGCCTCTAGTTCTGAAGGCATTTGACTACTAATTAGTAGGCTGGCGGTTCAAACCCACCAGACGCTCCTCAAAAGAATGTCTGGGCAATCTAATTCTGTAGAGATACCATCTTGGAAACCCAAGGAGGGGTCACTATAAGTTGGAGTCAACTTGATGGCAGTGAGGTTTTTTTTTGCCATTCTATATATGATTGAATATTGGTTTTTCTATTTCTGTAAAGAAGGCTGTTGAAATTTTGATCAAGATTCCATTGAATTTGCAGACCCCTTGGTTATTATTAACATCTTAACAGTATTAAGTCTTCCAGTCCATGAATATGGAATGTCTTTTCATTTATTTAGATCTTTGTTAATGCCTTTTGGTATTGTTTTATAATTTTCATCGTAAGTCTTTCACCAAACCAAAAACTAGACCCACTGCTGTTGAGTCGATTCTGACTCATAGCAACTCTTTAGAACTGCCCTAGGTTTCCAAAGTTGTAAATCTTTATGGAAGCAAACTGCCTGATCCTCCCATGGAAGGGTTTGAATTGCTGACCTATTGGTTAGTAGCTCAGTGTCTTCATCACTGTGCTGCCAGAGCTCCTCAAGTCTTTCACATACCTGATTAAATTTATTCCTAGGTATTTTGTTTTCTTAAATGCTATTGTTAAATGGCATTTTTTTAAAAAATTTCCTTTTCTGATTTCTCATTACTGGTGTATAGCAGCCCTTTGATATTTGTGTATATACCTTGTACTCATACCGTGCAACTTTGCTAGATTCCTCTATAAGTCATGTGGATTTTTTTGGATTTTCTATATGTACCAGTCCCCCTTTCCCACTGTTTTAGTTGCCTGCAGACAGCCATAGTCTGAAAATAAATGGAAAATTCCAGAAACATACAACTCTTAAGTTTTAAGTTGCGCATCATTCTGAGTAGTGCAGTGCCCAGTGTATCCAGACTATATTCATTATCCACCTGTTAGTCACTTAGTAGCCATCTTGGTTGTCAGACCAACTGTCATGATATTACAGTGGTTGTGTTCTAGTAACCTTTATTTTACTTAATAATTATTTTATTTTTAGTTATTGTTTATCTCTTAATGTGCTTAATTTATAAATTGAACTTTATCATAGGTATGTATGTATAGGAAAATATTGTACGTATATAGGGTTTGGTATATCCACAGTTTTAGGTCCATTGGGAGTCTTGGAATGTATCCTCCTTGGATAAGGGGGGACTACTTTAGGGGATTATGTCATCTGTTAATAATGATAGCTTTACTTCTTTCTTTCCAATTTGGATACCTTTTATTTATTTTTCTTGCTTTTTTATTGTGACTAGAACTTCAAATACAGTATTGAATTGGAATGGTGAGAAT